GTGTGTGTGTGTGTGTGTGTGATGAATGCTCTTCCTTATTTAGCCTACTTTGGGCACAGGGCATCAATCACGAACCTTAAATTATTCCATAACGGTAATACTGGCTGCTGAATAGCTGCTAAAACGAAGGGAGATCCTCTTCAACGATGGGAAAGCTGCCACGCTGATTTCGTAAAACATTGAACATCCTATGGTCCAAAGGCTAAAAGGAAATGCTTTATTTTCGGGTCGAAATTTATTTGATTGAATTCGATCAAATCTGTTTTCCTACTTTGTTATTCCGTTTCGCATTTAATATGAAGTAGGTAATAAGCTACTACCGTCCAATGTGATTAGGGGAAATTTTAAGTTTGCGTACATCAGATCCTATTTTCTTCTTTAGGGATTAATAGGCATTGAAGATTGACGCGAAAATTTGGCATTACTTTCTTATTGGCATCCGCAATGAAATCACCAATCCAAGTGATGTTCTGAAGTTGAATTTTTACTTATTCATTTCACCTGTTTTCATGTTCTCTAAAACGTGCCGGTATCGATCGATCCTTAACTATTGCGCTTCGACTTAAAAAGTCATAAAGCATTTAAATGATCAAGCTTTGAATGCAATCACATTCACGCACATATTCCATGTATATCATGAGCCTTCCTCGCTGCCCGGACTCTGATGACTTCCATATTATCATATGTACTGAGGGTTTCTAATTGGCTCTCAGTTGTGATACAACCATGCCGTTGTGGTAAACTTCGTGATGCATATGTGTCAAGCCATGCAATGCGTAAAACACTGCCAACGGCTATTACTCATATAATTAAGCCTCTAATTAGATGGTCTTTTGCACCTCTGCATTACAGCAGTCATTTTTAGTCTCTGTTCTAAGATACACTAATTATCATGCTGTTAGCTGAAACCCATGGTAGCAATTAACTAGTCCGTTTTGAAATTGTTCGAACGAGCGGACAGCAGGTGATGATGAATAAACTTTCAATCGGCCTGCGACGGCTTGTTTAGGCAGAGCCGATATTGATTAGACATGCCTCGATGACTCACGGCACTCTTCAGCCAAAACAGGAAAACACTGCGAATGCAAATCCTTTGATGGAGCTAAAAGAGTCGTGGGCTCATCTTTTTCTAATTGGAAACAAGCAAGCTCTGTTAATTTGGTTTGGAAATCGGACCGCTCTAATTCACAACGGTGATACAACTGGATTGCTACTTGAAGACTACTTTAGGACGAGCCTGCATACATTTTCAGCCATTCCTATTATTCCCTGTCCACACTTTAGTTAATAATACAAAATTCATCAGGGCTTTCAACGACGTTTCGCTTCAAACATGTGACAGCGTGAAACGTTTGGACTAAACAAAGCCTGTCTCTTCTAGGAGGAAGAAAACTAACATTGTTTAGTCCAAATATTGCCCTCTGTGGCATATTTTAAGTCAAACGTCGTTGAAAGCCATCGTCGATTTTGCATTATCGATAAAGAACGACATAAAAATCCTTCGAAACCATTTATTTAATTGATCTGATGCAAACTGTCACAATAGGTTTTTAAAAAAATTTGGCTAGATTGTGAATTGTACGTAGTTTAGAAACATGGGTGACATCAACGACTAGACCGCCTGTTCATAAAGAAAGTCCATGCCGCTAAAAACCAGTCAATGAAGTACATTCATCAGGCAGATAAAGGCACTTTGCCATTGCCATCTTCAAAGATGAAGACTTGTGATCACTCATAATCGATACTCATTTATGGCAAAAAATTACGGATATAAGAAAAATGAGCTTTACCGAAATCAACAACGGCTTCTTGAGAATACTCTGATTCCTCATGTTCAGCAGGCAAAGGGCTGAATCGTGCTAAAGTTCAGAAAATGGTTGGTAACGAATTCTGAAGTCATGTTCAACAAGTACGTCACTCTACCTGATGTAGTAAGGTCAATCGACTCTAGCTCAAATAGACGCCATAATATATCGTTTTGTGACAAGCGATCTCTGCAACAAGGAAATGATGCAATCAAATCAACAGAAGCGTTAAGGGGGTATAAAATACCTCATTCAGAATTGAAGATGTTCCCATTTATGAAACTGCCATTGTGTCTGAAATTCTATGCTCCATGAATGTTTGCTCCTAGATGTTAATATATGGAAGTGGAACATGAACCATATTTCACCCTCATCTTCATCTCCCACCGCCGCTTCTCCTTTCGGATCGCGGAAGCAGACACGTCAGACAGAGTTTCCAACTTACCCGATCCTGTGCCAGAGTCTGAGCTTCGGCAAAAGACAAATGGAGTCTGGAACAGACTCCTTCTATATATTTGCACCAGGTCAATCTTGGCCATCCCCTGGGCGTTTTGCCGGTCGGATTTGCAACGAACAGTTGTTTAGCCTTCCCTTCTGGAGGCATTCGCCACACAAGGCCAGACCATTGCAGCTGTGACTTCTCAGCCTGGAGAAGCAAAGGCTGTATTCCAAGGCTCTTCCGGATGTCACTACTCCCGACCATGTCGAGACGCGTAAGGCCA